TTATGTCATATTTGTCCTCAAAAGGGTGAAAGAAAGAAGATAACGAGATAGAGGCTTATAAATATGTGGAGAAAGAAAGAATGAAAGAAAGAAAGAAAGAAAGAAAATAACGCGATAGAGGCCTATAAATATGAGAAATAAAGAAAAAAGAAAGAAAGAAGAAAAGAACAAGATAGAAACCTTAAATATGTGAAGAAAGGAAGAAAGAAAAAAGAAAGAAAGAAAGAAGAAAAAATAACGCGACAGAAATCTATAAATATGTGAAGAAAGAAAGAAGATAAAAATATAGAAACCTATAAATATGCGGAGAAAGAAAGACAGAAAGAAAGAAAGAAAGAAAAAAAGAAAGAAAATAACGCAAAAGAAACCAATAAATATGTGAATAAAGAAAGAAAGGAAAAAGGACAGAAAGAATAAAGAAAGAAAATAACAAGATAGAAACCTCTAAATAAATAAATACAAAAAGAATAGAATGTGCTAGAAATTTATAACTATATAAAGAAAGAAAGTCTTATAAGTTAATTAAAGCGAGATGTAGAGAAACAGAGGTAAAATTAAGGAGTGAAAAAAGTAGCGAGCTAAATAGATTGGGTAAATATGCTTAATGAGTTTCCTGACACATCTGACATATCTGCCGAATTCTTTGTCCTTTCAGGCTGAATGAAGTTACCTTTTTATCTTGGCATTTACGTAACGAATAAGAAAATCATATATTTATATAAGTAGGGGATTCTAGGGGAATTATCGCCTAAGAAATCTATTATTTGTTTCTATTCAAGGAATCTAAAATGATAGATAGATACATATATAGACAGATAGATCGATGTGGGTTGAAAAAGAATGGAAGAAAGAAAATATGAATGAACAGATGGACGAACTGGACTGTGAAAGAAACATGTGAAGATATGAGGAACGAAAGTGGAAGAGGAGAAAGAATTGGACTGAGAAACTTACAAAGAAAGAAAGAAAAAGAAAGAAAAAAAGAAAGAAAGAAATGAGATAAAAACGATATGAACTTTTGATAAAGAAAGAAAGAAACCAACAGAAAAGTGAATAAGATAGAAACATAAATATATGAAGAAAGAAAGAAAAAGAAAAGAAAGAATAGAATGAGATAGAAACATAAATATAAATATATCAATAAAGAAAAAAAGAAAGAAAGAGTAGAACGAGATAGAGAATGAGATAGACGAAGAAAGAAAGAAAGAAAGAGTAGAACGAGATAGAGAATGAGATAGACGAAGAAAGAAAGAAAGAAAGAAAGAAAGAAAAAGTAAAACGAGATAGAGAATGAGATAGACGAAGAAAGAGAAGAAAAGAAAGAAAGAAAAAAGAAAGAACGAGAGAAGAGAATGAGATAGACGAAAAGAAAGAAAGAAAGAACGAAAGAAAGAGATAGAACGAAAGAAAGAAAGAGAAATGAGAAAGAAAAAAAAAAAAAGAAAGAAAGAAAAAAAGAAAAAGAAAGAAAGAAAGAAAGAAAGAAAGAAAGAAAGAAAGAAAGAACGAACGAGAGAAAGAGAAAGAATAAATGGAGCTGGGGGGAAAACAAAGAAACAAACACACAAACAAAAGGGTGAAAAAGAGAAAAAGAAATAAGGACGAGCTTATAAATGAGTGTCAGCGAGAAAGAAAACAACAGACAAGCAAAGAGAGAAAGAGGCTGACGGACAAGTCCTAAAACCTATTTCATCGTAGAGGTAGAGAAAGGGTTAAAAAAAAAAAAAAGAAAAAAGAAAGAGAGAAATAAGAAATGTGATTGTAGCGAGTGAGACAAGACGAGAAAGAAAGGGAGTGAGGGGAACATTCCGAGGATAGCAACAACAACAAAAAAAAGTACAAATAAAACAATCAATACCTTTTATCGATCGATTCTAACCCCTTCTTCCTCTTCCCTGCCCCAAATTATTCCCACCCTGCCGCAGTTAGTTTTTTTTTTTATATTTTATTTTAATGCCTTATCAATGTAACATTTTGCACATTGTGGGCCATCACTGACATTGCAGTCTTCTACAGCCGCTTCTACCCGACCGTCAGCCGTTCCCACCACCAATACAAAGAATGAAGGGAGTCAACGTGTTCTTTCTTCACAATTAATATAATTCCTGCTTTCCAACTCTGCCTACATTAACCCTTCACCCCACAGCCCTGATTTTATTTATTTATTAGTTTTTGTTTGAATACCTCATATCAGCATCCGCTTTACACAAATCTAATGTCTTCGGCTCTCCCAAACAACACCCCCCTCTTCTATCCGTGTCCGTCATAATAACTACAGTAACTGACACTATATCTTTGCTTCTACCACTATCTTCCAATAGCCTTCGATTTCATCAGAAGGCACACGAAATACGTAGATCTATTGGGATATACATATACATATATATATATATATATATATATATATATATATATGTATGTATGTACGCATACGTATACACATACAGAGAGTCTCAAGACGGGAGAGGCGTAAAAGTGTAAGAGTGAATTTGTAAGAAAATCTGATATATATATATAAAAAAATTATCTTACCATTTAATAATAAAAAAATTATCTTACCATTTAATAATATACAAAAAATAGATTGACCAGAACACGAGAATAATATATGAACATATATATATATATATATATATATATATATATATATATATATATATATATATATACATTGTGTATTTAAGCAGCAGTCCTTCATTTATGCATGTTTCATTAAAAAGGACAGACAAGGTATTACGGTTAAGCTTTTTATTTAATTTTTCGTGTTAGAACAAGTGCTTTCTTTTTTGGACACAAAGTGTGTAGAAACTGTCCAAATATTCTATAGTTCCGAGCGCCAAAAAAAAGATTAAAGATTTGTAAAAAAAGATTTAAAATAATGGAAACCCTAATAATAATAATAATAATAATAATAATAATAATAATGGAAAATAAAAAACAACAACTCTTAACAGAAAATTAACTACGAACAAGGCCACAACGTGCAAACCGTGTTCATAGGAAAATAATAATAATAATAAAATAATAATAAAGAAAAGACAACTCTATAACACTAAAATACACCTCTATAACATAAGGCCCACACTCAATTAAAGTGAAAAATAAAATCATCCTTGATAATGGTATAGCCGAAAGCGGTCAAGAGTATAGAACATTTGGACAGTTTCTACATATATTGAATCCAAAAAAGAAAACAATTGTTCGAACACAAGAAAGATACAAAGCTTAAGCGGAGTACCTTGCCTGTCGTTTGTAATGAAACATGCATAAATATATATATATATATATATATATATATATATATATATATATATATATATATATGAGAGAGAGAGAGAGACATAGATATTGTGATAGATAGATAGATAGATAGATAGATAGATAGATAGATAGATAGATAAAACGATGATGAGTAGAGGAGAAAGTGATAGGGAAGTCAAGATATGAAAAAAGTAAAAATGCATTGATACAAAATGTGCCTTTATACATACAAATATATATATATATATATATATATATATATATATAAAAAAAATGCTTATGTACTTACAAAAGGAAGCAATATCTCACCATTTATAAATATATATAAAAAAAAAAATGAAATAGATTGGCCAGAATACGATATATAGACATGAATAGATTTATATATATATATATATATATATATATATATATATATATATATATATATATATATAGAGAGAGAGAGAGAGAGAGAGAGAGAGAGAGAGAAATAGATGTCTTGTAACATATAGTTGTTTTTTCTGTTTTCTTTTTGAATTTGTAGGTCTGATGAATTGGATCGTATTTACGATTCCAATGGAATAAATTATGACCATGGAATATTAGTGTTTAATATTTATATATATATATATATATATATATATATATATATATATATATATATATATCAGTATACACATATATTAATATGCATACATACACATATATATTCATAAACATATACATTCGCATATGTGCATCTATACCTGTGTACACGCGTGTATGTAGATTTTTGCGTTTATTTCCATAATGAACACGCATACACGCTGACGTATATTGCAGTAAAGGCACGCGTCCACATACATATATTCCATTACACGCACAAGTTTAAAAAGGACACTGCTACAATTGCATACACGTACGGCTGCATACACGTACATCAGCTCTGTACTTTCTCATAAATTCGATCTCTCTTCACCCAAACCGTTCGCATACACGCATACACAATTACACCAGAAACAGACACACACATCTACAAACATACAAGCACTCGCACTAAAAGGCAATACCAAAAACGTTTTGAAATTCTCTCTAATCGTATACAAAGATCGGCATATTTGTCTCGTATCATAAACTCCAATACAACCTCTCCCCTAGCCCCTGACTCACACGCACGCAGCCCCTCCCATCACCAGATTTGCATTATGTATCAATACCCGATCACATTTAGACAACCTGCTGCTTTTGTATCAGTCGAAATTCCGTAGAATGCTTAAACGAACATAAAGAATAAGATTGCAAATTCCAAGACCTGAGACGTACGCCAAATGGAAATGCAGACGAGAGACTCTTGGCTTTTATTCAAAAAATGTTAATGGGAAAATTAGTCGTTTTTTTTCTTCATCATTTGCTAAGAATTACTGCAAATCTTTTCTCTTTAAATTATTTTATTTCTCTATTTATTATTCAAATAATTTTCTTCTTTGTTCTTTGTTCTTTTTCTTCTCTCCGTTTTTATCTTTTATAATAGTCTTGTCTTAATTGTAATGGTGATACGACTTCTTCCTCCATCTATCAATTATCGTCATCACCATCGATATCGTCATTTTCATACGAGCCAAATCTGGTGGATTTTGGTTGAGAGCAAGTGACGGCAAGCATTCTATTCTTGCTGTTCTAACTTTTTTTTCAATAATGACGGCATTTGGATGACTTCAAAGATGCATAAAAACTTATATCTTATTCACATCAATAGCTTTGTGATTTACGTTTGTAACATTTGTGTGCAGTGTGAAATTCTGGTCACTTGCATAATTCCCAAAAAATTACTATTCCTGCCCTGACATGTCTACTATTTTTGTTTTCTTGAACTAATTTTCTGTATTTACTTCAGATTTATTATTATTTTCGTCTTCTGCAAGGTTTTTCTTTTGTAACGGGAGATCTTAATTTATTGGAGTTTTCCCCATCAAGTCGTACGGCCACAGACAACTAGCATTTTCGCAGAATATTTGCCGTGCCAAACAATACAGACTTCTGAAACTATGCAATATTAGGTTTTATTATTATTTTTTCAATGTAGGACTTTAATTTCGGTAGCATAGACCCCCCAGCAACCCAATATACCGATTGTGACATCCAGTCTGTCATCCTGGGTATGGAAATAAACTACATACGGCAGCAAGGTCTCTTATCAGGAGATTTTGAGGAGCGTGAAACCACCTCTTAATGGCTATTGCTCCCAGGTTCACCCTGACCCAAGGTGGTAGCACCTGTTAGGGTCCCAACTATTGGCAAATAGTGAACACACAAACTGGGGTCAAAACATGAAAATATAAAAAATACATTACAAAAATTACCGGCAATACATTATTGGTAGAAAAATATACCAGCAATACATTTTGGACTATTTAAAATAAAATGTTTTCACTGTTTAGATACAAGACTTTATTGAGAAAAAATTAAATTTCGACATTAAATGACACATAAGGAGGTGATACACTGTAAAACAAAACAAACCAAATAAAACATCTAATCTGTTAAGAGTATACCAAGCACATGCATCACAGCCAAATATGCATGATATGCTGATAGGTCTTGATAAAAGCAGAACATAACTTTTCAGGTAGACCCTAGTTAGAAATGCCTGATGAAATACGTTATCCCGGGAGGGTAGTTCATCTAAGATAATTAAAACTCTGATTTGTAACCTCCGGTGCCTTGAGGCCATACCCAATCCTGGGAAAGGCTTTGGAAGTAAACCCTGAGTACAGATCCTGAGCTGGAATCTCCAAGACAGTCCGCGGAAATTCAAATTCCAAGTTGGTGTCTGGCATGGGGTAATTCACTTCATGGCTTGAAAGAAGTCTTTAGCCTTGGGTGTCAGTCTTTCTAGAGATGGTGTCTCGACAAAAACACCCGGATGTAGAATTGGGGGCTACATTTTGTATCAGCTCCCGAAAGAACTATAACTCCGACCAACCATAGGGGTGTCGAAGGATGATGATGATGAGGAACACCTTCCTGATTATTATTATTATTATTCCTTTGATTTCTGTTGTATACTCTTTTCTTTCCGGGTTCCGACCAGAGACCTAAGGTCAGAAATGGCATCATGGCATTTTCTAATTAGCATTTTTTGAGGGAAAAAAACGAAAAATATCTAAGATCTAAGATTACATAGATAAAGTCCATCGTAAGGTGTGGACTGTACACATGAGAACAATTTTCTTTTTTTTAAAGAGGCGTGATAGAGGAAAGGATGAAGAGAAGGAGAGGGAATAGATCAAGGGATCTGGAGATGTCGATTGATATTACATTTGAATAGTTGGAGATTATAGCTATCAAGGAAACAATTAATAGGAAGGGGATTCCACAGACGGGAGGTGCGAGACATGAAGCTATTGGAGTAGAAGAGACGGCTACATTTAACCGCTTCGACAGTGAAAGGGTGGGACTGAGATGCCAATCTAGAGGCACGTTTAAATTCATGCAGTCTGGGAACCAGTAAAAATAGCTCGTCGGAGCAGTTACCGTGAAAGTATTTGTAGAAAAACAAAGAGTGGCGATGGCACGTCTGTGAGAGAGCGACTGTAAACGAGATGCCAGATCAGGGCCAATCACATTGCATATCCATCTCTGGATTTTGTCGAGGACCTTAAGACGAACAGTGGGGGCACCAAACTATATATGGCAGCAGTATTCCATGGAAGGGCGAATGGTTGATTTATAGATTTGAAGGATGGACTCGGACGAGAAAAACTTTTTGGCGCTACACAGGGAACCAACTTTCCTTTTGGTGGATGAAGCTATTGATTCAATGTATTTGTTCCGTCTCAGGTCAGCGGACAGAGTGAGACCAAGCAGTCGGAATGAGGTGCTCTCATGGAGTTGAGCATCAGACATTCTAATGGGTGGCAGGGATGGTTCCCTGTGGTGAGTAATAGAGAGCAGTTTTGTTTTAGAGACATTAAAGTTAACCAGCCAATTCCTGCCTCAGTCAGCAACCGATTGGAGGGTCTTTTTGAGACTGTTAATAAAATTGTCCATTCCTTTTCTCACGATGCCCAGAGCTCCGATTACTATTGCTACAGTCTCAGTATTCATATTATTATTATCATCATCATCATCATTTGTGTATGTTATGTTTCTTACTTTGCATCCTGTAGAACCGGCTCCAAACTATGGTCCTTAGGCACTATAGGAAAAATGTTATTTAACTGATAGCACTTTTCTTAGTATATGGGATGTTCCTAGTTGGGTGATCTTATGGACAACATGTATTTGATTTCGTGTGGTGTATCCTCATTTGGGTAAGCATTTTTCTGGTCTTGTCGTCCAATCTTTTAATGTAACTCAACTTTCATTTAATAATGTTGAAGCTATATGTTACTACGGGTAGAACTAAGGTGTTGATAGCCTTCATTTTATTAGCCCCATTAAGTTCGCTTTCTAGTATCAAACTCACCCTTCTATAATAATATTTATTATTATTATTATTATTATTATATTAATATTATTATTAATATTGTTGTTGTTGTTGTTGTTGAGTTATAAATAATGTAAAATGATTTTTCTTCTTCCTCCTTTTCTCTACTCTGCATCCTTTATCTTTTTGATAATAATAATAGTAGAGTAAAACATTTCTTTTATGTATCGACCTTATTTATTTTCCAAATCTTTGAAAAGCAAAAAAAAGCCCAGAGAACATCTGCTTAGAAGAAATATTTTTGGATCAATTTTCTTCAAAAAATGCCATTTTGAGGTTTCTCGCAAATGGTATCTCCATCATAATCCACTATGCAGCTATTGTTATGTGATCTCTACATGCCACTGGTGCACGTGGCTCAATATTATTGACAATAGGTAAAATATATATTCGTTTCTTTTTCTTCCGTTTTTATTATTATTATTGTTGTTGTTGTTGTTGTTGCTTCTACGTTAAAAATAATGTAAAATGATTTTCCTATGTCTCAGGATATTGATTGTAGAATTCTATTGCGTTCGTTTAAGCATTCGAACAAGAAAATGCTAGTTTCGTAAAACGCTTTTACCTTCCCCACCTTCTCATTCTCCATTTTGTCGCTTCTTGATGTTTTGTGAAACTTTGCTTAGTACAGAATAAAAGGTCAAAATGCGGTGGGGGATAAAATTAGAAGAAAATGCGAGATTTTTCATTTTAAAAAATGTTCTTGTTACGTTTATTCTTTCCGAAGAAAAAAAAAAAAAAAGACTTTTAATT